GCAGGGGAGCTCCCCAGTTGGCTGCTGGGGGAGGAATGGGTGGGGTTTCAAGTGCTGGCCACACTCACGCCACCAGTTAAACAGGTGTCCAGGGACTGGTTGAACTGGGAAGGAAGCTGGGCACTCTGGGAGGAAGGTGGGGTGCTTGTAGGAGGGCTGTGCTTCTGCTAGAGGGTGGAGGTAGCTGAGCACAGCCCTTGCTGGCAATGTGATTTTGGCTTGAGGGTGGAGTCGCTAAATGCAGCTGGGAGCAGTGAGGCTGAAAATTGCAAAACCGTGTTAGTGGGAAGACCAAAAAAGGTAAGTTGTGATGGTGTTAAAGTCTCCTGGGGAGATTTTCTCCTCTCTGCTGTGCTAGGGAGGTTACCTACTGTATGGAAAACATACTGGGTGCTTTTTCCCCTTTTGTATTAAAATCAGAGAATGGTTTGGGTTGGAAGGGACCTTAAAGACCATCCAATTCCAACCCCCCTGCCATGGGCAGGGACATATTGCACTAGACCAGGTTGCTCAAAGCCCCATCTGACCTGACCTTGAATTGCTCCATTGCTGGGTCTGTCACTTCTGGTGTTTGTCATCGTGTGTGGGATGACCCAGTTCCTACCTACAAGAAGAGGCTCTGTGTGATTCTCTGGACTTGGAGGCAACGTTCAGTCTCCTGCAGTGACTCTTTGCTTGGGAGTCCCCAGGTCTGAGCAATTAATCTACCGATGATTTTGCCTCTCATTAGAACCAAATGTTTATTTGGAAAAACATTTCTACCATGAGGGTGGTCAAACACAGGAAGGGGAACCCAGAAAGGTTGTAGCAGTTCCATCCTTGGGGATATTCAACACTTGACCAAACCCCTGAGAAACCTGATCTAGTCCCTTCTGGTTTAAATTCCCCTGTAATTCTACCATTATGAGCTCCCTAGGACAGAGCCCATTGTACCACGGCTTCTCCAGGTGCACTGCATATGTGTTCATTTACCCCCAGCCCTCTCCAAGAAGCCCACGAGGGTAGACAGAGTCAAGCAGCAGCCTTCTGGTTTTATTATCATTGTTTTATTTCCATTAGTTCTAAAGGTGTAGAAGTTATGTGGATTGGTAGCCATACTACTTCATAATATATATTTTTTTACATCTTTAAATAATTACAGCTTGTTCAGTTGGTTGGTTTCCCCCTTACAAGTAAGTGTCTGTTTTTCCATGGAACCTTCCCAGATGACCTGGGAAGCTTCAAACTTTACACATTGGGGGAGAAAAAACGCAAAACAGAACACCACCCCTGACGTAGTCACAGCTTCAGTGTTATATTAAGAGTTGTTGATTGGTTTTAAAGCTCCCTTACAATATTCCTGAGCTCCTCCTGATTGTACCCTCTCCAGTCAGCCCGTAACATTGCAAGTGAGATGTGGATCTCTTCTGATCAATTTACAAAAGAAGAACTGAAGTGATTCAAGATATTGCACTTCCATAAAGAGGAAAGACATTTAGAAATGGTTAAATGACCTTTCTACCCCTCTGGCTGCCCGTCCTGCTTCTTGTCTGCTCATCTCACTCTGATGGCCACTGAGCCACTGCAAAGGTCTGGCTTGGCACCATCAAACCTTGTGCTGCAAACCCTTTGACAGCAAAATTTGCATGTGTGATTAGTGATGACCTCTAAGGGAACAAATCCTACAATTGCATTTTTTAATATGCTTAAGTGTTTTGCAGGACTGGGCCCTTCCCTCTTACTCCTCAGGGCAGGGATGGTTCTTGGTCCTGCATTTATGTAGGACCTGGCCTGGTGTGGTCCTCACTAGGTTCCTCAGCTACACTGCAATTAAATACATTCTAACAATAATAATAGCAATAATTATCTTGCCTAAGAGTTGTATCTAATTTAATTAGCAAAACAGGTTCTAAATTCTTCCCGCATTATGGGAAGGAAAGCAGAGCTCAGATGGAACCCAGAATTTTGTAAGTTGTCCCTCCTGCTAGAATGAGCTGAGTGTCCTGAAACTGGTAGCACTTTCATCCTCTCGTCCTACGAGTATCCCTTTATCTGTCACTTCTGGTGTTTGTCATTCTGTACTGGACATCCCGGCTTCTGCCTACAAGAAGGGGCTCAGTGTGACTCCTGGGCTTGTAGATACCTGGGCTTGTAGACAATGTTCAGTCTCCTGCAATGACTCATTGCTTGGGAGTCCCCAGGTCCAAGCAATTCATTTACCAACGATTTTGCCTCTCATTAGAACCTAACGTTTATTTGGAAAAACATTTCCACCATGAGGGTGGTCAATAGCTCTACAACAGGTTTGGGTGATTGAAAAGAACAACAGAACCAGGCATATCTGAACTTCTACTGTTCGTGGTGCAAAAGCAAGGGACAAAAGAGCTAATTTCTACCACTAAAGAGAGCCAAGTTGTCCTCACAGCCCGCAGAGCCTCACCTTCTTAATGCAAACATCTTATTCTGTTATCAGGGACCTTGTAAAGGCTCCTCATTGCATTTCAAGAATTATTTTTAAGGCTGAGAACCAGTTAACGAATCTCTGCCATGGTCATTTAGATAACTTGAGGGAGCATAAGGCAGGCTTATGTCCTGCAGGGTTTTCCCCTCTTGCGTTGCAAGCAGGCTCCTTTACGGCATCTCGGAACGTGTTTTAAGGGCAGGAGAAAAATTCAGCTGGGGGAGTTTAGCTTTGAGGGCAGTAGGAGGAGCGCAGTAATAAGGCAAGATGGACAGAGCCTCTGGGAGCATCCGTACGTAAAGAGAAATGGTGTGTATGGTTGGTCTGGACTTCAGCTCCTCTCCAGGAGGCTACCTGCTTCCCTCCCTCTCGGGTAGTCCAAGGTAGTTCTAGGCATCTCAAATGTTTGCATTAGCCAAGTGGCATCTTTGTGGTGGATGCTTGTCTGTTACAGATGGGAATTCACAGCCGGATCCCAAGAGAGCTCAACTGCCATTTACAAAGGAATATAGTTCAAGGAGGTGGCTCACTAAAGACCTACGTGCCCAAAGAGAAATGCCTTTATGTTTTCACCCCAAATTCATATTTTTAGGTGCTATTTCTGACCTCTTCTCTGCAGCCTACCAGGCCTGAGCAGAATCACAGAATTTAATTTATTTTTATTCATGTTTCATGAATGTCTTTTCCTTGTCTGTAATTAACACTCGTGAGGCTAGACCCTGCATTAGCTCAGCAAGACAGAGTGGAAACTCTGGTGCAAACACCATCCAGCCATTCCCGTGGCCTCACTGCCATGGTGTTTTTCTCTGGGGAGTGCAGAGGCTCTGTCACCCCTCCAAAACCCCGTGAATCTGAGTTATGCAGAGCACAGGGAATGTGGAAGGGCCCAGGTCTCTACCGTGACTCCAGTCCCAGTCTTTATCATGACCAGTCCAGTTGAATCCTTCTCCTTAAAGAAGCTTTTTTATCATTAAGAGGAAAATTGTGAGTTCAAACGAAGACAATACAATGCCATTCTTTTGCTTCAAACATGTATGTGGCTTTCTTCTTCACCAAGGCATGTATCTTGGTGTTTGGGTGGAAACTCTCTTTGTTTCCACCCAACAGTGGGAGACAATTTGAGTGGAAACTCTCTTTGTTTCCGCCAAACAGTGAGAGAGAGACGATGGCACATTTGGGAGGGAGGCACAATCCCTCTTCTAGACTTTCACGTGGTAGTTCCGTACTCAAGTTCTGGATGCAGGGAGAAAAAGAGAGGAGCTGTGAAGGCAAGAAAGGTAACAGAGTTTGGGAGCGGACAGAAACAAAAGTGGAGAATCCTGTATGATGAGGTCTCCCAGAAATTCTCTGCCTGGACAGGAAGAGCTGCCCCTCCTCAGAAATGTTGATGAAAACGTCATGGCAAGCATCTGGTGAAGCACTTAGACTGCACAGGGGAGCGGTGGCATCTGCGATGCTGGAGTTTGTTAAGCACATGCTAGAGAAAGAGCAGTCAGGGCTAGGCTAGGTAGAATTGATCCCTTTGGGTAAAGGGAATGAGTTGGTGAGCTCTCAGCATCTCTTCCAACTCCATTTGCTAGGATTCACTGGTTGCCGAGAGCCTTATGGGCGAGAAAACCCACGAGTCTTGTTTAATACTCATGCATGAACGGAGTTCTGCTTCTCTTGCAGGCAAGCAAGTCTGTGCGCGTGTTTGGTAAAGAAAACCTCCATTAGAGGCTGCAGCCTTTGCTTGTTGCAAATGGTGAAATCCTAAAGGGTTAGATGTGTGAAATGGTTGTGAGCCAGCTGTTAGGGGAAAAGTGGGCACTCACAGTACAGCCAAAAATAAATGACAAGCAGATTTCATCCATGACATCAAAACCGACATAAAAGTATGCAAAATAATTAAATTAACTGTCTGAAAAGCAATGGCAGAGCGGTGTTAGAAGAGCATCTTTCACTTGCCGTGCTCTTGAATAATCTCTGAGCCTGGCTTGTAGCTATCTGTAAGGGAAGAGCCCAGCAATTTCCTCCAGGATTTGATGACCAATGTGGGTCTCCTCTACCTGCTTCCAGAAGGTTCCTGCTTCCAAAATCCCACATTGACTTTGGACAGACCTTCTCCAGGCTCAGCCAACATCCTTTTGGAAACACAGTCCCGTGATTTTGTAATGATAAATAGGAAAGGAGTTACTATTAAATACAGACATTCATTAGCTTTTCAGAGCCATCTAGGAAAATGAAGACAATGCTCTAGATGTGTGAGCTGAGGATGTGTGTGTGGGAGGGTCTTTTTTTTTTTTTTTTTTTTTTTTTTCTCTACCTTAGATCATATCAAATCTACTAAAGCCACCACAGCATGTCTAGCGAAGTCTGTTCAGCAAACTGTTCTGGACCTGGCTCCGTTTGGTGGCAGATCACTGAACTGGGGTAATGAGAAGATGGTGACATTTTCTTCTGGTCAGGAAAAGAACAGATGATGATTGAAGAAAGAAAGTGTTTCTGCTCCACCGTTGTCTGAGTCTTAAATGCCAGATATGTTTAAATAAACAAAACTCAAGAACTGTGTCTGCGTTTCTGGATATTTCATAGAAGGTGGTGACAATCAACTAGAGAGGCTCATTTAAAGTGGGAAAAAAAGGCTTCAAATCCATACTTTGAGATTTGAGTCTTCTCTGTTTGTTTCACAAGAGCTCTCATACACCTCAGATAAATCCTCTTTACCTCTTTGCTGGAACATCTCACAAGGGGAGAGAAGGCAGAAGAGCAGGGGAGGTGGGAAACAACATTGACTTGATGATTACATGGCATCTTCTTCATCTCTCAAGAGGATCAGCCTGAAGTTCATGGGTGGAAGACCAGGTTATGCAGTTATGATGTCCCCATGGTTTTCAGCTAACACCAGGCTGTTCCAGGAGTCCTGTTTGGAGCTGGTTTGTGGAGACTGGCTGATAGCTGACTGGTAAGCCTGCGGAGAAAGCTTCAGAGCTGAAATCGCAGGGTGAATAGATGATCCATGTCCGGACATGGCAGAGACTGAGAATGCCTACAGGAAAAGAAAAATCTGTGAATAAAGCTTCAAACCACTGAGGACCATATGAATCCCTTTAGGGGGAGCTGGTGTTAATGTAATAACATGTCTGTGGATTTACTGTAGAGATGCAGATCGCAGCTTATGCATAATACTTTGGACAGGCTCTTTTCTTCTCATTGTAGACCTTATTCTTTCCTACTACAGCATACAGGGCATCTTGTTCTCTTCTAAATGTCAGAAATGATAATTTTACCTCCCAAGGCTCGAGATTTCATTGGCCTTGGGCTCTGCTAGCTTTCACACGACCTCCTGTGGATTGCAGGAGACATTAACAGTGCTGCAAAGCACTGCAGGTGCAGGATCAGTCCAGCACAACACTCAACCACATATTCTTTCTCCCGGGAGAAAACTGAAATTCCCTGTATGAACCCAAAAGAAGAGCAACTGTCATATATCGCTGTCTTTTGGTCGCGCTGTGCGATGGGGATCGTTAGCCAAGGCAAGCGTATTAAACCTCCACACAGATCAGCTTCCAGGTCTGGGTGTTGCTCAGCAGGATACGCACTTTGTGTGGATGCAGTGCTGCTCCCAAGACATCTAGTGGTGGACGTGGTACGGAGCACACCGCTTTACCCTGCAGCAATCTGCCCTCGTGCTTTACCTTTGCAGGGACTCGACTCATTCAGTTGGGACTGTGTGAGTTTATTCTCCTCACCCTGCATTTCTGATATCGCTCAACACGCAGCCAGCCAGTGCAGAGAAAGTAGAGTAATATTGCCAAGTTTTCCCTTGCTCAAGACAGATCAAATAAAATCAAATCATAAAAAGAGAATGGGCGTTTTCTTGTTATGGGACCTATATAGCTGCCCAGCTAGAAGGAGTTTCATGTTTTCAACAAAGCTGCTGCTTCTTGTCAATTCAGAACTGCTACACATCACTAAAAAGCTATATTGTGCTGTAGACATGGTGACAAGAATGTGGGGTTTTGTCCCATCCCAGAGGACAGATCTCTCACTGTGAACTCCTAGACCCCTGGGTTGAAAAAGGGCAGCCTTTTTCCACAGAGCTTTTGAGGATGTTCTTCTCACCATGTCTACCGTCCTAGTTACCTATCTTTGTCCCGCTGCCAGCATCTCCCCTCTGTACCTGAGAAATTGGGCTGGGGTGCCCGTAATGAGATGAAAGCCCAGGTTCTGTTTTTATGGGGCGCATTTCCTCAGTGGTCGTGGCACTGCTGCTGCTGCTGGTGGAGCTGGTGGTCGGGGTAAGACTCTCGCTGCTGGATGGACCTGTGAGAAAGCAGATGGTAAACCAGGCTCTTCCCAAAGCCCTTTCAGTACAAAGCTCTACCCACTCACCAAGAAGTTAGTGTGGGTAAAAATAAAAAAGTAAATAGTAGGAAGGGCTTTGTTACTGCTGAAAGGCATTCAGACATCCCCCATTTTTGAAGAATCAGCCCGTTTTGTGGTTGGGTGTCTGACTTACAGGGCATGGTGGTCAGAAACACAAGTGCACACACATATACACGTACAATAAAGTCCCCCATGCAACACTTACCTGCTGGTGTCTTTGTTTTGTTAAGGTTCTTCGGCTTGCGCTTCCTTGTCTGAATGCCCTCTTTTCTCATTGCTAAAGGCCTTGGAACCTATGGACCCAAACATAAAAGAACATTGGTTTCTGTATGTCCATAAGGTCATCTAGGAGAACATGATTCCAGCTCTGGCTTGTAGGCTCCATGAAAACCAGCTGATTTAATAGAAAGCAACAACGAGATGGAGCCTAAATTCGCTGGTCAGCACTGCTGTGTGAAGAGAGATGTCGGAATTACAAGGTGTGCATCCAAATGGGAATAGATGGGTTTTGACACCGTAGGTATTGAGTGTTTTACAGCTCATCTGTTTCTCTTTCCTGTTGAACTCAGAGCAGAAGACACCTTTCTGGCTAATATCTGCTTTCTGGAAAGGTACCAAGCCTGTGTGGGGAGACCTCCCTTAGGAACTGATCCCACTGAGGCAAGTCACCCTGATAGTCAGAAACATGCTGGGATTTCTAGGAAGAATTGTTGGGTTAGGTAAGGCTTCCCCTCACCCACCTTGCCTTCCAGCTTTGACCTGCCTCTCATGAGTGCTCTTCATCTGCTCTGAAGCACTGGACTTCATTGAAAGCATGGGTGTGTATACAAACCCTGTGAGTAGCAATGAGAAGTGGAACTGGGGTTTGCTACTAGGCAAAGGCCTCTGTCTCTGCCATGGGGGTGGCTCCGTAGCCACTGACTGTTGGGAGGAGCACTGGAGATTTGCATCTTGAGGTCCTGCTGTGCCTTGGACTCAAACAGGACTCTTCTGGGTATATCAGAGGTGATGTAGATACACGAAACCTCCACTGACAGGAAGAGACTATCTGGACACCCATGCAAGAAAAGTCATTTATCAGTCCCATGACAAGCCTACAGCCAAGTCTTAGCTGGGATCTGGCACCCCGTGTGGAGGAGCTCAGCCCTTCTTTGTGCTTCTGACTCAGATTTTTCACTGAAGTGCCTGAATTTAGGAAGGAAGAATCTGGACCTAATTTTATTGGCTTGTAAGACTCTGATGCAAGAGGTACCTAATTAATATGTGAGAAATGCCCTGCATGCATCACACCTTGCCAATATAAACATGATGCAATGTTGAGGGGGGCTAAAGCGCAGAGGGACCAGCAGGAAAAACAGCTCCAGGAGAGCACGGAGTTGTGCCAGGAACCCAATCCCCAGCTTGGTGCTATCGATACCCTCCCTGCAGAGAGTAGAGATCAATGAAGGCGTTACCCCATGGAGCTTCATGTAGAGTCCGCAGGCGTTACAGACGGGCTCTCCCTCGGCGTTTCTGCGCCAGAGCGTGGTTGTCGTCGTGTGGCAGTTGGCACAAGAGAGGCCGACGCGGCGGGAAGCCGACTGTGAGGAAATGCAGAGGAAGAAAAGGCGTCAGCCCTACACTGCTACCACCAGCAGCATCTCAGATCCCAACGAGCTCACTCCAGCGCGCCTCGGGTTTTCATCTCCTCTTGCCTCTCTAATTTCTCTGTCTTTTTCTCTTTTTGCATTGCTGCAGCCGATAACACAACTGCCTTTTTCTTCCCCTCTCGTCTTTCAGCTTCTGCTCCACTGCCTTTCCACTGCCTCCAGCCTGCCAGGGCTGCACAGACATCTCAGCTGTCCTGGAGCATCTTAGATGATGCCAGAGACATCACCTGAACAGAGACCCAAGTCTCCAGCAGGTCTAGTAGCAGCTTAGAGACCCACTGCACATGCACACACACCTACACTAAGGTGTCTGGATCTCAGACCGTCCTGCCCTTTCAGGCACCCAAGCACTTCACCTTCCAAGCATCATGGCATATCCCCAAGAAGATGTTATCAATGCCATGAATGTTACATACTCCTTGCTGGCTTTGCGTGATGTTGCTCGTGTGGCTTGAGGGGGAGATAAGAAAAAGAGTGCTTCCAGCAGCATCGTCTTCCTAAAGATAAAGAGGGATAATTAATAAGAATCCCCACTAATGAAGCAGTGCAGGGAACAGGCCTTTTTGAGGTTCCCATTCTGCGTGAACTGGTTTAGCCAGGCTCAAAAAGCCACAGGAAAAAGACAGTGGGCTTGAAACCGTATAAAATACAAGTTTTGAGCTTGGAAGCAGCGTGGGAGGTGGAGGAAGAAAAAGCCACATCCTCCATGCCTGCCTGACTCTTCCCAGCATCCTTCAGAGCTCAGGTCTTTAGAGGCTGAGAATAAAGTCTGGATGGGCTGGGGTCAAATTCCCTCTCTGCTTGCCGGTAAACTGGGGACTGAACAGAAGTGCTAGAGCTGTGTGAAGATGCCTCGTTCTCATGGTGCCTGAAGAGGAGCCTATAGGGAGGAGATCCTGTGGTCTTGGACATCTCACCAGCTCTGCAGACCTGAGCAGCATAGCTGGAAGCTGTGCGATGGGGTGAAACCCTGGGAGATAAGGACCTGGCAGCTACCAGGGATTTCCAAGGTGACCATTGCCACAGCTTTCTCTGTGTCTTCTCCCTCATTATGAACAGGATCAGTTAATCTACAGCTGCAGGACAATCAAAATTGAAATTCAAGTACTTCTTAAGACTTTGAAAGCTGGAAACCCCTTTGGTGCAAAGTAACCACTCTTTTTTAGTTGTAACCTCACCATGTATTAACATCAATCATTGGCCTTTGTAAGTGGACTGAGAGCTTAAAAGAGAGCTTGCAGCAAAGGCAGAGATCTTCCCTTGCAGGGCTCTCTGGCATATCTCAGTGTCCAAAAAAAAGGGGTTACACAGTGAGAGATTCAACCAAATCACTTATGCTGAGTGTATTTATTCAGGTCAACCAATTGTCATTTCTTTAACCACACCCCTACATTGCACCCCTAGATACATCCTCCTTTTCTTCATGGAAATTCTCTTTGAGAAGAAAAAGCAGGCATTTGGTCATTTTTGCAAGATTTCCAGATTGTCAGCTGCTCAGCCAGGTGACAAAAGTGCATGTACAGATCTGGGCAGCTCATGCATATTTATATTTCTCACACGGTTTTCCAAGCCTTACCCCAAGGCTGTGCGGCGTTAATGGCATGCATTGCTGCTTGCTGTAAAAGACCGAACCTGGTAGACAATGGGGCGTTCCTGACTCCACAGATAAGCCCAAGGATAACCTGTGGACCAGTAAATAAAAGAGGGCAAGGGCCTGGATGCCAGGTGGCGGACGCTGCCTGGCGCCGTCCGTGCGGTGTCTAGGAAAAGGTTTTCACAAGAGGGCGCTGGGTGGCTGCGGCTGGTGGCAGCGCTCAAGCTGCCAGTGTCATTTTTGATCCTTGCAGGGGATGGTTGGGCTTGAGGACGGACAGGTCTGAGCAATGCAAAGGGCAGGGCAGGTTGGGGATGGGAACTCGTGGGAGGCAAATAGTGAGGAAACGTGGCCTCAGGGATGGCTCGCTGGCTTATTTCTGCCTGAGCTCATGATGGACCTGTGTCCCTGGGGCACAGATGACAGACCTTCTCAAAATCCCTCACCAAAGCAGGCAGGGATGAGCAGGGTATCAACACTGAGATGATCCCATCCCTCAGGTTCCTCGTGCACACCCCATCCTGACCCTATGGATTTTGGGGCGCCCTGACCTGCCCCACAAGCTCTGCTTCAGCTCTCCCAATGGAGCCGTGAGCAGGGTATCCAGAAAAGGTGGGCAGTCACCATGAAGTGCAAGGGGTTCCCCAGCAATGACCAGGGAATAAAAACTCTAAGGGTGAGAGAAGATGGACTGGTAGTGTGGTGGAGCTAAAAAGGGTTTCCATTTGTCCTAGTGTACTTACAGAGATACTAAGACAAAGACTGGCTTTTGCTAAACCGACGCCATGGTTTCTGCCCCTGTGTCTGTAGACCCTTCCACTACCTGACCTGGGTGTCTGCAGAACTGGTCTGGACAGTACAAGGTCTTGCAGTGTACCAAGCATAAGACAATCTGGCTTATTTTGGAAACCTGGACCAAAACCACCTAGGTTGGGCAGATGGGGACCCAAGGAGTCAAAACACCCCTGGCATCTCCACCTAGCCAAGAGGTGGTTTTTTGCCCCAACCTCGCACGCAGCCTTGCCCCACATACATTGTGTGATCTTGACTTACCAGCCTCCTCTGAGGTTTGAATAAGGGCCGGTTGATGCCGTTCATCTTGTGGTAGAGCCCACAGGCGTTGCAGAGGTAGTGCCCCGTGCCATCTCTCCTCCAGAGTGGGGTGGACATGGCCCCACAGTTGACACATTCTCGCCCTTCTGAATAATCATCAAAAAATTCTGCTGCCATGATGGGAGAGGAGGGAAAAGGCTTGGTTAATTAGGCGGACATAAATTTAATCTCTGATTTGGTTCTCAATTTAGCCCAGAAGTGACATTTCAAGAAATCACAAATATTCAGATTTTATAGGTTGCAAGAAACTGCTCTTCCTTTCTCCAGGAAGCCTCTGGGATTATTGGGAAGAAGAACCCCTTTCCCTGCCATACAGTGTTGGCTGCAGGACCTCTATGGCAGCAGGGATGTGCTGGGACAGGGATACAGGGAGACAGAAATAGAAACCTTCCCTTCTGCTCTGACGTTATCCAATTTTCAAGATTGGACACAGCCAGGGCAAACAGATTGGGGCAGGCAAACAGCCGTGTTTACAATCAAGACAAATTGCCCGCGACCGCGGACAAACACAAGCCTGGACCCACAAAGCAGAACCGCGCAGAGATCAGACACCTGACCGAGCATCTCTCAACAGGGCTCAGGCAGGTGTGGGCAAGGAAAGCCGTGCACCCTGCTCCCCCACAGGACTGCTCCTCACCCAGCCCGTCCCCTCTGCAGAGGGGAAGGGCTGCAGAGAGCCGAGGGGGAGGGATGTTCATGTGCCTTCACCCTATTCTCTGCAGAAGCATCTCCTGAACTACAGGAACCAACGCGTACAACCCCAGCTCAGGCTGTCAGCTAACAGACATCATTGGGCGTTCGTGTGTGTCGGAGACTCAGCTTTTGCTGCAAATCTCCGTCACGCTTGATGTCACCCTCCAGAGCTTGGTGCATTCACCCACTATGTTCCCGCTTCATCCTCCACCAGGTGAGGACAACTGCCCTGGGCTGGGCCAGTCCAATCTCTCTGGCTATGGCAGGTCTGTATCCTCTGCAAGGCGGTGCAGAGGTCAACGCAACGCACCTCGACTGCGTCGTCATTTGGAAAGACAGGTCAGCTCACCGTTGGGTACAATGCCCTCGAGAAGCCAAGACTTTCACCTAATAATATATGAGCATAAGCTGTAGGCCTTGCCGAGATGTAAATACAGCTGCATCCAGATGGCATGGCCCTTGAAAATGCGTGTTGCTGATGGTCATCCCACCCAGAGGTTATCAGCTATTGAGTTCATCTCAGGGATGTATTTCTTCTGTTACAAAACCATTCCTTCCTGCACATGGACACACCCTGTTGTGGGCACCAAAAAGGCAACACTACATGGCAAAATAATTGGGGACAAGAAGAAAACAACAAATGACAGCAAAGGGCTCCGTTACTTAGCATAGGCTGGGAATAAACAAGGCTGCTGAAAAAATTCCCAACTGCAGTGCACAGGAGATGTTTGGAGGATGGTGGGACCTTTGCATTGAGACCTTCAGCCATCAGAGCCCAGCATAACATTAACTCTTAAATGTGCAGCTTGCTATATTTTGTGCTTGGCCACCTGCTTGTTATATGAGTGTCTTTAGCTTTCTGCTGGAAGACAATAGTTTCCCAAACAGCCAACCAACAAAATTTGGCTTCTTGCTGTTCTATGTCTCAATCCCATGTGGATTCTCTCATATCCGATAAGGGCTATGTTCAAACGTCAGCTCTATTTTCTCCTTGCTCCAGATTATTTTTGGAAAATCTGTAGGAAACTACATAACCGTGAAGCAACCAAAGGATTGCAAAATGACTAAAGTAGCGCCAGTAAACAAAGAGAAAAAGATTCACTTGAGCCTAATTCTCCCTAGAAAACCAGGCTAAAAATGGCAAGAGATTACACGATATGCCCATGGGGAAATACTAGAAACCAGTAAATGAGTGTACCCAAGGGGCTCTGGAGCCAGAAAAGAAGGAATCCAGTATCATCTCAGCATCTTAGGAAAATCTCATTACCTTTGAGCAATTCTGGTGTTTTAGGAAAGATGATTTTTGTACACGTGGATTCAGTGATACTGCAACCACAATGCCTTACTTTCCCCTTTAACAATCACCATTGAGTCACAACCAAAATCTAGATCAAATAAACTTCCTTTGAAAATATTAGGGATTGGGACAGCTTGTCAGGAAAGAACTCATTTCCTTGAAAAATCTCAAGAAAGGAAAGCATTTCACTGCTTTTTTCATCTTAGAAGTTGTTGAGGTTTTTGATTATCATTTTCCAATGAAAAAGCCAAGTTATATTCACGGTAACTTTTGTCCTGTGAGAACACCCTTTCTTCTTTGAAAATAATTCAATACAAAGTTGTTGACGTAATCCAGGGACAATTTAGCAGAGCAGCGGTAGTCCAAAGGTAACAGTTAAAACTCTTGACAGGAATAAGTTGTATCTGTGACTAATTACAAAATATAATCTTTCCTGGAGACTTTTTCACCAGATAATCAAAATCTGAAAGTTTTTAACCACAGAAAGAGGAGAAAATTCCTAACAGTGCCTCAGAAATGTTGGAGAAAAAGTTGGACTGACTTTTGAGTAAGAAGGTCCCTCAAAATGGGTATGATAAGAAGAAATGCCAAGCATGGGAATACTTTTGTTTTTAGAAGAAAAACAGGATGTGGACTTGAAACCAGGCAAAACGTAAGTCTCTTGTTTTCTGACAATAACCAAATTTGCTACTGAATATTGAGTGTTGTTTCTTAAGAGTTTATGTGACACCTATCTCCACTGTCCACATTATTTTCCACTATTGGTTTGTAATTGGACATCTAAAGCCTCAGCACAAAGCAGTCTTGAGGCCCACTCCCTTTGCTCTCCTTTTTCATCTGTATTTATTTGGGCTATATTCTTCACTTCTTGTTTCGGGGGTGCTTTATTTTTTTCAGTTTCCATAGGATTTGGACTGGAGCTTCTCTCTTGAGGGACTTTCACTGGTTTAAGTTTCAAAAAACCCTCTTCTGCTTCTGTAGTAATAACATTTGTGTGATTTTCCCCTCCCAGCTGCAGACAAAGGTGATCCTTGTGAAAGTTAATAAACAGGAATCACTGGTGCTTGAGACGGGGAAAGAACAGACTTTGTTCCCAGCGCACACTGAGGCTCCACACAGTGGGTGGCTCTCTCTAATCACAGCCCTCATGGGGCGATATCAGATGGGTGCGTCCCCTGTGTGCACCACCCAGTGCTGAGTCAGAAGATGACATCTCCAGAGTGCAACCTCATTAAAAGCATTCCTGGAGCCCTGTCAGGAGCAGAGGGAGCTCCTTGACCTCAAGAGGTGTCACCTGGAGGAGAAATGTCCTCTCCTGCTTCAAAGTATGCTTGATGATGGCAGAGGATGTGTCTTGGACACTGCTGGATACTGGCTCAGAGAAGATGACGTAGGCTTAGTGCATGCCCTTCAGTGAACGAAGGGCCTTTGGGCCCCAGTGGAGAAGTGGAAGGCAAAGGACTGTATTTCCTTCTAAAAGAAGAATTCACAGCATCGCTGAACCCAGAACTGAAGTTGCTGGGGGGATCTTTCTGAGCTGACCTTCTGGCCACACAGCTGAGACATCCCAGCCACTCTTGAAAGCCTGAGGGTCTACAACATGATGAGAAAGTTGCACCTGAAGAGCTGCAGGCCATGCGATTTGACGTGGATGGGTGTCCAAGACCTAGGAAACGCAAGGCTCAGAGCCCACAGGAACTGTAATCCACCAGCAGGCTGAGCTATATTGGGCATGGAGGTCACTGGGCTTCAAGTGCATTAATTGTTTAATTTGCCATTGTTATTAATAATGGGGATTAAGGAGGCTCCCCGGGAAATAGCAGCAAAGTGTTTTCTTGGCTTCCGTCTCGGGGCTGGAGCTCTAAATCCTGGCATTATGAGATCCCCTGACACTTATTCCTTGTACTTAGCAGCCGGGAAAGGAAACGTTTATTCAGGCAGCAAATTGCCCGAGCAGCTCCCGGAGGGCCCTGAACAATGAGGGGGGAAGGAAAGGCTCCCCCAGTCGCACTCAGGGCAATAATTTCCGTTTCGTGGCACAGGAGCCGCTGCCTGATAATGGAGATTTATGGGTCCGTCCGGTGACCTCTGTAATAGCCTTTCTGCTGGAAAGATTTACTTGCTCTCCCAAAGCCAGGTATGGCCAGCCCTGGGACAGGGTTGAGGAAAGGGTAACGTTTGCTGGTTAGGCTGAGAAGGACACCAGCCCATGACTGGAGTAGCTTCATGTGTGCTGAATGGCCTCATCTTCCTCTTTGAACATACAGCTCCCCAAAAGTGCCTTTGCCTAGCCCTTATCTCAGATAATATCAGTCTTGGGATCATTCCGTCCTTTTTATGGGTTGAGTCCCCACCATTGATTAAAGCCGATGGCCTTCTACTTAATTCTTCAAAAGACCCTACCTTTAGACCATCAAGGAACTTCTCACACGAGAGCAGATCATGAAATCTTGCTGAATGACCCGGCCGGTGGAGAGGATGGATTGGGTCCTGTCCCTATCCTGGTCACCAGCTTGCTGTGTAAAAGGAGATCTTTTTCCCCTCACACCTACTGTTTATGAGGAGTGCAAGGTCCCCAGGGCAGGAAATGTCACTTGTGTGTTGCACAACAACCTCCTAATCTTGGGTGAGGCCTTGAGTATGCTAATGTCAGAAATACTTTCCACAATGGGACATTCAGTCCCCAGGGAGCCAGGAGTAACTCCTAAGTGGGGCATTGGGGTCTGGTAGGAAAAAAACATTTGTGGATATGGCTCTTCATGGCTCTTAGTCATTGGGAGTGGTCCTTCACATCCACCGCCAGGTCCACAGAGATCAATGGGTACAGACAATGCAGGGCTCAGCCGAAAGCACATCTGAGCACGCCCAGCTAGCCCACACCTACAGGCACTTTTTCCAGCATGGCTAGGACATGACAGCATCTCTGACCAAGGACACTCCCCACCCAAAGTCTGAGTACTTTTACCTTCTCAACCAGGAGGATCAGATACCCTCTTGCAACCAAATCAGCTGGGGATCAGGGGGAGGTTGCCCAGGGCTTGAATCTGAAGAGTGGCTCAAACAACTGCCTTTCCTGGGTCTTTCCACCAACTCTGCCAACCCCAACTCTGCCAGCCT